AAGTTTCTCTGAATCTTCACTGTCATAGAGCCATTATATCCTTCCCCCCTCCTTAGCCTTCACATAGACTTAGTTTCACTATAGGCACTTGCTCCTCACAAATATCTACCCCGTCATTTTGATTGCTCAAGATGTGTTCTCTAGACTTCTTAAGAGGACTTACAGCACCAGTCTCTGTAAGTTGTTGATAACAGCATGCTGATAGACTGTATGCTTGGAAGTCAGTTTTGCTAACTACACAAACCTTGGCTCACATTTTCTGTTCTTGAGTAGCTTGAATATACTTCGTTTTTTTCTGGCATAAAGTATTATTGTCAAAAAGTATGATTAAAAAAAAGAAAAAAAAGTATGATAATAACCTGATGTTCTTTCTCTTTTATACCACATACACTTTCTTTTCTAGATGCTCAAAGTGTTTTTTTCTTTTTCTTTAAAGCCATGCAGTTTTATAAAATATATATTATGGTTGGTTGTTCTGATCAGTGTTCCCAAGTACACGATGTGCTTTTTTTCCCCTTGAAAAATTGACCATGTTATCATGATAAAATAACCTTTTTTTCCCTCACAATATTATTTGCCCTGATAACAACATTTTGTCTCATATTAATAAAGTAACTTCAGGTTTATTTTGATTAGTATTAAATGACATCTTTTCCACCTTTTTGCTTGATTACATAGAATTTTTTTGGAGAAGTTTTAAGTTCATAACAATATTGAATGGAAGCTCACATACCTTCTGGGTCAACATATACACAGTCTCCCCACTGTCAACATCTTATACCAGAGTGGAGCATTTGTCAAAATTGATGACGGACTTACACGGTCACATCATTGTCACCCAAAGCCCATAATTTGCATAGAGTATTGTGCGTTGCGTGGGTTTTCCAAAATGTGTGCTACCCCCCGCCATAGTATCATGCAGTTTCACTGCTCTGACCATCCTCTGTGTTTCTCGTTTTCATCTCTCCCTCCACCTAAACATTGAAAAACCACAGATCTTCTTAGGATCCTTGTAGTTTTATCTTTTCCAGAATGTCATGTAGTTGACATCAAACCATATGTAGCCTGTCCAAGACTGACTTCTTTCATTTAATAATATGGATTTAAGGTTCCTTTATTTCTTTCCATGGCTTGATAGTCCATTTCTGTTTAGCACTGAGTAATATTCCACTGTGTGGATGTACCACACTTTACCCACTCAATTACTGAAGGACATTTTGGTTGCTTCTAAATTTTGACAATTATGATTAAAGCAGATATAAACATTTGCATGCAGATATTTGTGTAGACATAAGTCTTCAACTCCTTTTTTTTTTTTTTTTTTTGGTACCAGGGATCGAACTCTGGTCCTTACGCTTGTGAGGCAGGTGGCAGAACCACTGAGCTAAATCCCTGGTCCCAGTCTTCAACTCTTTTGGAAAGATGCCAAGGAACATGACTGCTGGATCATAATATAGTAAAAATATGCTTAGTTTTGTAAGAAAGTGCCAAACTGTCTTCCAAATGGCTGCACGTTTGCATTCTCACCAGTGGCAAATGAGAGTTCCAGATGCTCCACATCCTCACCAGCACTGGTGTTTCCAGTGTTTTGGATTTTGATTATTCTAATGTGTGTAGTGGGAGCTCCTTGTTTTAATTTGCAATTCCCTAATGACACAGAATGTTGGGCATCTTTTCATAGGCTTATTTGCCATCTGTTTATCTTCTTCGGTGAGGTGTCTGTTCAGATCTTTTGCCTATTTTTCATTTGAGTTGTTTGCTTTCTTAATGTTGAGGTTGTTTTCTTTTGGTACTGGGAATCGAACTCAGGACCTTGTGCTTGTGCAGCAGGCACCAGAACCACTGAGCTAAATCCCCTGCCCTTAATGTTGAGTTTTAGAAGTTCTTTGTATATTTTGGATAACTGCTCTTTATCAAATACACCTTTTGCAAATATTTTCATTATAGCTTGTATTTTCCTACCTCTTTGCATGCCTGGTCAGAAAGAGCCTTGTTTCCAGGCATGTGTGAGCATCAGATACTATTCCTTCTAATCTTTTCAGGAGATGCTTTCCCAAGCCTTCAGGTGGTTCTTTTATGAGAAGCCTTGCCTCAGCTGCCACCACTACCACTTTCCCAAATCCTCCATCTGTATCCAGTATTTTGAAACGGCTTCTTTCTCATTGGCAAGACCTAGGCTGATCAGAAGCAGGAAGAGGAGTGAAAAATGTGATTTCAACTAAGGTGAACTAGAGAAAGCTCTGGGTAGTTGTCCAAGGCCTTTATTGTAGATGCTGAGTGTGGAGGAATGGTGTTAGTATTTGGAAAAGCAGGAAAAAGAGTGCTGCTTTATTTACTTCTACTCAATAAATATAAGTTTATTTTTTCATTATAAGGGTCTAGAGACCCTGCAGAAGTTTGGAGATATATTATAGATCGAGCATACATGGATCGCAAACCACTTCGGGCTCAGTAACTTGCAAAATTTTATGTTGTATTTGCTTTGTTTTAAACTAAGATGGTCTAGTTCCATATTCTCACATATACCTAGGATTTCAGCATTGACAGACTGTCTTTATGGATCTCAAAATATTTGATAAAACCTTTATTTTATACCTTCTTTGTAACCTTGGAGATGGAATTCAGGATTTCAGTTGTCCTGCAGTGTAGGTAATGGGATTAGCATCACAGGATCCTAGAGTGCCTGACTTCCTACTCAGGATCTGTGGTCCAGCTGTGTTGCCTTTCCCAGCTACTCATTCTTGAAATAAATACAGAGCATTATAAGGCCCTGGGCAATGAGTATACTTAAACTATCCAGAGTATGTGGTCTCTTCTTTCTCCTTCTTATTTGTTGGGTTTTCCAGGCAGCATGACTTCTGGGAGTTTCAGAGTGTTTGATACAGGTGTTTTTGTGGTATTTTTGTTTGTTTGTTTGTTTGTTTTTTGGTACCAGAGATTGAACTCGGGTCCTTGGGATTTTTTAAGTCAAGGAAGGAAGTGGGATTTTTTAAGTCAAGGAAGGAAGTGGGATTTCCAGCTGAAGAGGGCTGTGGGATTGGAAAATGTGTTGGAAATTGGGTAAACTTTATTTCCAGATGGAAACAGTGCCCTCCTAAGGACTTGTCAGATGATGGTTTACAAAACACTTGTATTCTTCAGTGGCCTGGGAGTGTGTCCAAATGGGGTTTTTATAGCTCTAGAGTTCCACATGACCCAGTCTCTTCAAAATCACATTCAACAAAAATACATTTCAGAAATGAAAAGTAATTTCCAAAGTGCACTAGTCTTTACTTGTATCTCTTAAAGATGGGAGTGCAATTTATAGTCCTGGGAAACACAGGATAAAATCAATTTTTGACTTTTCCCCAATTCTTTCATGCTCAAGATCCTCTAAAACTTGCCCTGACATCTCTCCTTCAGGTCTTTTTCCACACATGATTCTCTCCACTATCACTTTTCTCCCTTGCTATCCCACCAGAAATGGCTACAGGGATCACCACACCTAGCAAGCTATGGTGGGGAAACTGGGTGACCTTGTGGTTCCACACTTCATTGTCTTTCCTTGTTCCCCAAAGAGGGAAGCCCATGCAGGACTCCTGGGATTTTTGTTCTTCCCTTGCTTGAATGCTTTTCTTGCAAGTCAGTCCAAGTTAGAATTACTAATGAATGAAGCACTCCTTTTTAATATATTTAATCAATGATGGAAAATGCATTTGAGAACATTTTCAAAGGAGCCCTTGGGGTCATCAGTAATGATGAGGTGGGGCCTACGAGGCTGAACAAGATCAATAATTGCCAACCCCTGCTAGGCAGAGCTTCCAAAGTTCAGACCTATAAGGGAAGATAGCCATGGCCCTGGTTACAACAGAACTAGAAATGCATGGTCCAGGCATCCATCTAGAAAAATCCTGGTTTGTTTCTAGGTTTTTCCCCTCAAATACTTCAATACATAAAATGGTTTAAACCTATAAGACAGATAGGACTCATTGATGAGGCATCATGTATTACTCAGTGGCCACAGGTACTCAGAGGCTTATAGTGGACCAAGGAGAGGAGGGTGTGGAAGTTGGAAGCAGAAAGCGTGGATCAGGTAAGTAGATGGTCAGCAATAAGGAGAAAAAAGTGATGAGAGCCTATAAATCTACAACCAATCAGTAGCTGACACTCACAGATAGTACTAGCAAAAGCCACACAGATTTATTTTCCTAGAAAAACAGAGGCCCTGTGCAGGACAGGCCCCCAGGGCGGGACACAGTTACCATAAATGGGACCTACAATAAGAGGAGTGAGAACAAGGGACAAGACAGAGCCTAATTGTTAGAATCAAGGGACGAAATTCAAGCTGGACCACAGGAGAACTGAGTCAATGGAGCCCCCGAAATACAAAGTATTCAGTCCCCAAGGTGCCTGATACTGGTGAGAGTATGGGCTGAGTTTAGAAACCTAGTTCTTGACCTCCCCTCTAGTGATCTGGGGCAATTTACATATTTTCTCCCAGTCTGGTTTTCTTGTCTCTAAAAGTAATTGCTACACACAGAATAGTTGTAGGCATTAAATGGCAGGCCAGTTTCAAAGCACTCAATAATATAGAATAGAATTGTTAAAAATAAAACTTTAGACATTATATTCAACAGAGTATAATGGAGCAAGGAACAGTTCATGAATCAGCCCTCAGAACCTGAATAAGTTCAGAGTGACCCCAGGGCAGCCTGTGGAAGAAAAAAGGCAGTTTACAGAAAATGGAAGTGAGATACAAAGACAGCTGGATTGGTTAAGCTTGGCATTTGCCTTATTTGAATAATTGGCTGCCTGTGCTTGACTGAAGCTCAGCTGCTGTGATTGGCTGAGACTTGGCTATGTGCTGTGTGTTCCTGTCTGTTTACACATCAAGTTAGGTTTCAGTTCACTAAGTATGGAGAAACATTTAGGCCAAACTTAATGAAGTGTAATAGGATTGTGACACATATAGCACTTCTTCTCTCACTGCCATTCTTACCTCATCTCATCCACCCATTCTAATCAGGGCTGGCCCTAGAGCCTGGCTGCTGATTCTGCAGACAAGTGTACAGATATATAGGCACAAAATATGCCCACATGAATGAAAAAGATGGCTGCAACCTCCTCAGGTTTATTTGTAAGTCAATCACTTGACACATAGAACCCCTGTCCATAAAAGCTGTGTTATATCCAATGGCTTGGTTGCTAGACTGTCCCACCATGCCTTCTTGGTCAGGAGAAAGAGGCTGAGCATAGTGCTGACATGTGGTAGGGCCCTCATATTCACTCGAGTTTAGAGCCAACTTTCATAGGACAGCATTGTAGAGTTGGGGAGAAGTGAGACTTCCTCTTTGGGAACATCTGGGCTTCCACACTGAGCCCTTAAAAGCCCCACATGCCTCTCCCAGGCTCACATCTCTTGGTACTGCACTATGACCTAACTCCTTGTAAGTGGGACCAAGTACCTCAGTGCGGAAACCCAGATGTTCTGGAGTTGAGAGCTTGGGGACAGAGGTGTCTGGACCTTCCTTGCTGTTACCCATTACCTTCTTTCTTCTCCACTGCTCCTGAGGAAGCTGATCCATTGAGTGGGAGTGTCTGTTCCTGCCATTTACCAGCTGTTGTAAGAGAATGAAAAGTTCCATCTGAGACTGTGATCGTTTAATGGTGAGCCTGTGAATTGGGGCATAACAGTAGAATCGCCGCCTCATTTTCAGGCTTAGATTAGTAGAATTGACTTTATCCTTCCTGACCAGGCAATGGCCTCTGCAGTGCAGCTCCATGGAGGGACAGGGAGAATTCTCCAGGAGAGAGAGGAGGAGGAGAAGGAAGAGAATACCAAAACTTGATCAGATGTTACAGAGACAGAAGAAAGGCCACAGAAATCTGGTGCTCAAATTAAACGGGAACTGCAGTAGTATATAACTCATCCCAAATTGTTGGAGAATGAGGAGCTCTAAATTAATGCATTTTTAGACAATTGAAAGCAAATGCTTTTTCCCAAAAATGGAAACTTCTAACAGAACATTCATCATTGTTCCATGCTGTAATGGAGCTGTGTCCAGAGGAGGCATGTAGAGCTATTTGCCCTGAAACTAAGAATCTAACTGACCCTCAACTAATGTGTTTCTCTATTTGGGGACACTCTCTCTCTCTCTCTCTCTCTTCTCTCTCCATCTCTGTCTCCCTCTCTCTCTCTCTCTGCTACCAGCTGCCACTTCTCAGTGGGCCATCTCCCAAGCATCTCCTACTCTGCTTCCTTCTTTTAACTCTGTAGGAACTGAAGGCTACCAGAGTAAACCAGATGACCAAAACTACAAGAGCTGTAACCTTGCATTTAATTTTGTTCTAGATTAAAGTGGTTCTTCCTTTTTATTTTATTTTCCTATTTGTTTATAATTATTTATTTCCTCTGTATTTGACATCACTGATACCCACCTCCCCAAAACTAACTCTCTCTCTCTCTCCCTCCCTCCCTCCCTCCCTCTCTCCTTTTTGAAGATCAAGGCACTGGCCAAGGCCTTTTTGTCCATCTTGATCCCTACCAATCCTGCCCTTAGACATGATCTACAAGGGTTCCTATCATGAACTACATCTTTTGGAAGACTCTGCCCTTCAAGGGAGGAGTCCAAGGGGCCAAGAGAAGAATCCCACAGGGAACCCATGCCTTTTCTGTCAAGACTATGTCCTGGGTACCTAGGACCCTGGGAATGCCTACCCAAGTGGCCTTGAGTTCCCATCTAGGGCCTTCTCTACAGGTCTGTCCTCCAAAGGATTCACAGTGCTCCTGGTGTGTTCCTTTCTGAGGCAGCCAGTAGCACTGATTGGAGGAGTGGGATGCAGCTTGGATATGCTGAGGTCACATGAGCATGAGAGTATGCCCATCCATCCCACCCTGTGTGTTCCTCTGCTACCCATCCCAATGAAACAGGGCTTGGGGTGGTGGGGAGGAAGAAGGCAGGCACCTCCATTTGTACTCTTTTCAAGACTGCACAAATCTTAAGGGGCAGATGAGCCCTGCTTAATTCTGGAACATTTCAATGGCTTCGTGGATGACCCATCCAACATACCACTTAGCTTTATGAGTTTTTGATGTGCTCGATTCCAATCCAGATCTAGCATTGCCCTGAACTTCATGAGAATTCCTGAATTCACTGCTATTCAGCACACCAAATACAGTTTTCTGAATCAGATCATTCCCCCCAGCCTCTGCTGTCTTGGAGTCTCTGAGGCTAAGAAACTAGGTCTCTCTTCTTTTCAAAATCTTTGTTCCTCTTTTCCTCCCCCTCTTTGCAGCGCCATCCTTTGGGGGAAAGCTCCTTCTTTGATAACCAACTTTACTTTTTGGATAAAGCTTAGAGATCTTTAAACCATGAAGATATCTATGAGGAATATCTGCAAGATACTTTTTCTGGAAATTAAAAATAACACCATTTAAAAGAGAGCATTTTAATAGGAAGGTCATGAAAAATTCTTTTTTCCTTTTTAGTGTCTGAAAACATTTGATTATCAGCTCACCTAAGGTTCCCAAGCCACAGGGATCCTAGGTTTTGGTTTGATAGCTATAGCCTGCTGGAAGGGACTGACAAAATCAAATAAAGACAAAGTATTATAGAGAAATGAATGTTTGGGTATGATAAAAAAGACTCTAGAAGCTTAAAAAGCAACAATAGGAAAAAGGTACAAAAGGCAAAAACCTGTTTCTTCTTTATTTTCTTTGGGAAAAAATGAAATGTTCTACTAAAGAGATTTTGTAGAACAAGTTTGCTTCTATAGCAATGGCTATTTCGGTGGCCCTATTTCTGTGGTTTTCGGAGAGGGGCATTCCACCCCTTGGTGGGGTGGGGGTGCAGATATTTGGGGATGCCCGAAGATATTTTTGGTTCCCCCAACTAAAGAGGGAGAATTTACTGGCATCCACTTAGTGGCTAGAGACCAGGGATCAGTTAAATATCCTACAGTAGACCGGACAGTCCCCAAAACAAAGAACCACCCAGCCCCAAATGTCAATAGCGCCAGGGTTGAGAAACCCTGCCCTGTGTTATGGGATGGGATTGACACTAATTGCACTCCAGAATTCTATAAAAATAACCAAATGCAATAATGGTTCTTGATAGTCACAAGTTTGACCCTTGGGCCACTCTGACTCATACATAAGGACAAAGCTGGTACTGTGACAGAGGCCAGAGCATAGCCCTTGGTTGATTTTTATGCTACAATTAATTTTTACATACTCTCCCCTCCCTTCTATGTTCCCAGCTGCCTTTTGTTCTTAAAAAAGAAAACAAACAAGAACATCCCCCCCATTATGCTTTATTTTTATCATTGTCTTTTCCCCTTCTTTCTGTGCTGAAGTAAAACACGATACGATGAAGAAAGCATCGTTACAGGAGGGTGCTGAGGATTAGCAACAGCTCCTGAGCTCAGCAAAGCTGCTCTGTGAACTTCTCAGAGAGGAAACACCTCACACATAGATGAAGACCTTGGGTAGAATGAGGGTACCATGACTTGTCAATTGCACTTTTTCCTCTGTGAATATTTCTGGGTTATTTATTTACTTAAACACTGAGGTACATATTTGAAGCAAGACTCTCCCAATCCATTTTGAACTCTTTTCCCCTGTGAGGATCATGTTTCTTCTGTCAACACATGCTGTGTTTTCCCTGGACCCCTAATTACACTGAAAATGCCACATTTTCCTTGAGATCTTTATTCCACATAAGTCAGCTAATGACTATGGCAAAACTGAGAAGTTCAGGAAAAGGAAATCTCTCTTCTGGTGGAAGTGAGTAAACAAACTGGAGCACAGGATGGAAGCAGCTAAAATCTGTAGAAGGTTTATATTCCCTAAATCTGGATAAAGTCCTTGATCCATGAATGGACCTCCTTGCCTGTTCACCCAAATATCCCTACAGCTGGCAGCTAGCATGTTTGACTGTGGGCACATAGGATGTGTACGTAAGTAGAGGAGGGTGTTACAGATCCAGAAAATGGTGAGAGAGCTTCATCAGCATGGACCATGATGACTAAGACCTTCCACTATGGCCCATCTCTTTGCCCTTTGCTGTGAATTTTGTCTGTTGGCATTGGAAAGATGGAATGCAAATGTAATCCAACCCTCCCGTGTTTCACCTCATCCATGCCTCCTTCTACACGTTCAGGCTTGTCTGTAGCCAGTGACATGGGGTAGCCCATAGTAGCATGCTGGTTCATATCCCCAAACCCTTTTGCATAATGTCCCCTTGGCCTGAAAAACTACACACTCTTCCACCTGGGAGAACTGCTTACCTTCAACACCTTGCTAAGTCAGCACTTCTATGATTATTTTCCTGGATAGAAGGTATTGACTGGACTGAACACAGAGACAGGGCGAAAGGGTAACTTGAGTCTTTCTGAAGACAGAACTCCTTGGGATGGTCGAGCCCTTCGGTGACATTTCAAATGACATTAAAGTCAGCCCTCTGAGAGCTTTCCACCTGCTCGCCTCTCACTTCTGCTCATCCATGAATGTCAGCCTAGTGGAGAAGAACCACGTTGCTCCCTCAGTGGCTAAGTGAGGGCTGAGCTGCAGCCCTCCAGGGAGACAAACTAGAGAAAGATGATGCTTTGAGGCAATGTGTCCAGGCGGAGGAGACACAAATCCCCAGGAGTAGAGCACTGGGCTGTTGTGGGGCTATTGTGTGGTTTCCTCACAGTGCTACATCTCCCCTTATTTTTTTTCTCTGTATCTTTTATTTTCCTTCTTTTTGCGATGTTGTAATCTTTTTTCTCTCTCTCTCTCTTTCGGTTGTTTTAATTTCTAATACAGTGATTGGATGGGTAGAGCCACACCAAGGGCTCTTCAGGGCTCCCCGCTGTGCCATGTGGTGGTCTCCGAGCTGAGTGACTACAGCCCTTCCATGATGTTGTAATCTTAATAAAGCTTCTCAACTAATGTGAATGGACAGGAGATGTGAGAGAAAGCATTTAGTTTGACAAATGTTTCCTGATATCTACTGAGTACCAGGACCTGTACCAGGGCCTAAAGTTGGAGTGGATAAAAATATAATCCCTACCTGCAAAGAGCTTTCAGTTTTGCAGGGGCATACTGTTAGTCCTACAAACTAGACTATATTAGCACATTTCCAGGAAGGCACAGAAAAGGGTGCTGCTAATTCCAGAGAGGGGAGCGGGGAAGGGCAGCTTTAGAGGAGAGCTGAGGTTGGAGCCAATTTTTGAGGCAAACCAGGGATTTCACCGGGAAGTGAAGACATATAGGCATTTCAGATATCCATTCATCTGTTCCTGTGTTCACTTTCTTTGCTGGATATTTCTTGGCTTCCTGTTACATAGCAGGCTGTGGGGCAACAATAATGAATAAGATGACAGTCCTGCCTGTTAGGGCACACAGAATCCAGCACTAGAAGCTGACAAGAAGCAGGTCATGACCATAAAGTGGGACAAGGACAAAAGTGAGTATACCACAGTGTGTGGCCCACTGTATGGTGCAGCATGCTTCCAGCCAGTAAAATATAGGCATGGGTGAGAAGCAAAGGTGGTGTCCTAGAGGAGATGACATCTCAGCTGAGCCCTGAAGGCTGAGCAGGCACTGGCCAGGAGAGGACCAAGGGACAACGTCCTGGGCCCAAGGGTCTTTCTGAGCAAAGCCATGGGGATCCAAGGGCCCATTTAGGAGGGTAGTGAGATCCCAGGCTGGAGAGGTTAGTAGGGTGAGGTCATGAAGGATCTTGGATTTAATCTGGGAAAGGATTGCGAGACCCTAAACATTGCATGACATGTTCAGGTTTGCATTTTAGAAAGATCACTGTGGCAACTGAATAGAGAATGGATTGGAGAAGAGGAGTAGAGGCAGGAAGACTGGTCTGATAGTGGCTGCATAATTCAGATAGAAATGATGGGGGGGGCGGGGGTGAGTGATAATAGCCATTAGGGACGGGGAGAAGTACCCAGCAGTACATACGCGTATCCACAAGCACCCAAGAATACAGGGGAGCTGAGAGGTGCCCCATAAATTGGTCACAGCCCAGAATGGGTGGCAGAAACTGATGGGAAGCAGGGCTGGAGCCCAATGTAGGAACCTCCAATGCCATGATAAGGAGCTTGGAATTCAC